TGTCGTATGTGTTGAGCGTAAGCGTGCACATCACGCTTACCTTGTTTGAGCTTCAAGAGTTCGGTTCGAGCCCTGAACTCAGCTCTAGGCGGTTCAAACGTTTGTCTGAGCCGCGACTTGAAGACTTCCAACGACCCAAACGCATATGGGTCGTGCAGCTTGAGCCCCAGTGCCCAAGTCTTGGCACGTCCTGCCAGATTTGATTGGGCAAATACAACTTGCATATCCCCGTCGTCGATGCGACGCGCCCTTATGGCGTCATCCAATTCGACGAACCATCTCAAGAGGGAGTCTTCTTCGACCCCTCTATACTTTGAGATGTCAATCTTCAAAGTCTCGGGCCGACGCGAGTGCATCGACCCGCCAGCAGCAGCCTGCTGCTGTCTCAGCAGTTCAAACTGTTGAGCACCTTGTTCTCTCAACAACTCTGCTTGTTGAGAACCTTGTTGGTGAAGCAAGGCTACTTTCTCGCGTTCAGCGTCAAGTTCATTTTGGATGAACTTGGCGATAGTAGCATGTTGGGCGTCTCTATTGAGAGCCTCTAGCATGACGCTAACAGCATGGATGCCCATGGTCGAACCCATTCGTTCAACCGCATCCCATTCGACATCGCTCAAATGGGAGTAGCCGTCACGCGTAGCGTGAAAGCTTTGGTCATCTTCATCATCCAACATATTCATGTTGGATGTGAACGCGGTCCTTGGACGGACTACGAAGTGCTACCAGGTGTTACGGGGCACCCTGAAGCTTGTACTGGTGACAGTACAAGCTACTTATTATGATAACAGAATAAGGCGGTGCCTCGTAACTTCACGTACACTCGTACGTGCAGAGGAAGACGGTAAGAAGAAGCGAGTACTTGGTTAAAGTAAAAAGTAGAACTGTATTTATAATAGTTAATGTCTGCAATAAATCACTATTTATCTTCATCTAACTATGTCTAAATACAAATGTGTAAATCAGTTATCTGCTCACCACTCATTGCGTGCGTCTGTCGTGGCGCGTCTTCGTTGGTTGATATAATGGCCTATATCAACCAATTAGGAACTACTTGTAAGTGCTACAGAAAATTTGTCCTTATGACAATATTCTGAGAATATAACTCTTATAGTTATATTCTATTAACAATTTCTTATAAATTGTTATGTAACGATTCACCCCGTTACAACTAAGGTTTAACTGATGCATTAACATTGATGCAGTAGACATTCAGTGAGTAGTGACGTCTTGAAGCATGATTCTGGACAAGACATGAAACTAATTCGATTGCTCATAGGCGACTTTGACGTTTGGTGGAACAGTCCAACCTCCTGGCAAGGATTTTGAGCAATCTAGTTTCTACTAAAAGAAGCTCACCTTTACCATTGATCGAAGTCGCAAGACCTCAGTGGTATAAGGATGCCCATCGGATCGTCGCTAGGAGAAACCGAATCCACTTTACATGCACCTGTAAAGTAGCGGGGCACCCTTAGTTTGGGGTGCCGCGAAACTTAACGTACAGCCATTACGTGCAGAAGAAGTTAAGCTACTCGAACTGCTAGTTTGAGTTAAGGTGGAAAGTATTTGATATAGTTAAACCATCAATATAACTTGGTTCCTTTGCTAACTAAATTAAGCTACATTGTCGTATGACGACAACCTGCTCACCACCCGTTGCGCGCGTCTAGCAGCGATTGGTGGTATTCTTGGTTCAGATGTCGATATCAACCGATCTTTGAGCAGCACGTGAATACTATCCTAAGGGGTAATATTCTTCAGTATTAACTATCTCGGGTAATATTGGCAGAAGATTGTCACACTTGACAATCTCCCTATTGACACAAAACGGTGTCAATATCATGTAACGGGCTACCCCGTTACATGCAATGCCTGGATGCATGCATCGACAGAAAAGGTTTAAACCACACACAATATAGACGAATTCGACGACGAAAACAAGTAAAATAGACGACGCTTTCGTTTTACGCTCTCTTGAATCCCATTGAATTTAATGATCGTAGGAAGTGAATAGAATCTCGACTTTGCATACTAAGATAATCATCGAATGCGGGATTTGCAGGACGCGAGGGATGGGACCGGCTCATCCTGCGTCCCGTCCCGCGCAGGACAGGATGCGGGATCTTGCGGGATGGGACGTGGCAAGACGGAGCCCTAGTCCCCACCGCAAAGGTATGCTTTCGGTACACATGCACTCACTCTTTCACTAGGTCACTATTGAGACACACGCTTGTGACTGGTTTCAAATCGACTAAAGGTGCATAGGACCACAAAAGCAAATGCTGCACGATCATAAGGAAAGACCGATCGCGTTGCACTGGCATACCGTACTGGGTTGCTATCGACATTCACAGCATCACCGTACTCCTTCTTCGGCGACTGCTGCTGTACAGTGTTTTGCAACTTGATTTAGTCCTCCGAGCTGAATTACTTGCTTCAAAGGGCGCGCTCCAGAGCTTGCTCCCCTGCCTTACAATTTGCGCTGATTCACATTGATACGTGTCGCAGGACGACCCATCCAATCTGGCCCGCAGCACGTCGAGTCGACAAACAGTCATCTGTTTGGGATCTCACGACGGACGACATGTCCATACAGCTGCAACTCACAGCAAGAAGCGAGTTGATTTGTTCTTAGCGTCTACAAAGCAAAACAACGATATGCGCTATTTCACATTCGTCCGTGTCGCAAGATGAGCCCGTCAACTCTGACCCGCAGCCTATCAAGACGACACACGGTCGTCTGATCGGGATCCTGACAACAGACGAGACGTCCATTCGGCTGCAAGCGAAATCTTTTATCCTCTACAGCTGGTTTGGCATAAGTGCACGATAATGATCACGCTTTTTGTTGGGTAAAAGGCGCACGGTATCGTATCGACTGAAGCCCTCAAAACAAACAATCAATTTGACCATTATCTTCAATGAGCTCTGGATCCTGCTGATTGCACCGAATTCGTTCGCTCGTTGGATACATGCGTGCGCTTTTGTACCAGGAGTAGACAGCTGGATCCCCAGTCTCCGGATACATGCGTGCGCTTTTGTACTAGGAGTAGACAGCTGGATCCTCAGTCTCTCTCCTACATGCGTGCGCGGATCATCCGAGCAGAACTATTGATGGGCTGCCCGTAATCACGTTTTGGAGCGAATGGGCGAATGCTGCAGCTGCTTGATCGTGTTCTTCAGATATTCGTTCTCAGACTAGCCTCCCTGGCGCTGAACGTGTCGAGTCTCGGTGTAAAGTTGCATTCGAAGCTTGTGCTTTCTGACGACGGGTACAAGCCATGCTCGACATTCGAGACTTTTCCTGAAGACATTGTCTCATGGCATGGAAAAACGAGCTGCGTGACCTCACAATTGCTTTTGCCTCCTGCGTCCTACCGCCGAACCACAACCCACGCCACTCCATTCCCTCCACCCTCAAGATGTCGCCAGCTCTTCCGCGTTTGTCGGTGGTCTGCTCCGCGCTGTTGCTTTCGCTCTCGCACGGCACGCAACTTTTCGGAAACGACGCGTCAGTTGTCCAAACCGAGGCGACAAAGTCATGGCCAGGTCTGATCGTCAACGTCACGCATCAGACGGCGCCTTTTCCGTTCAACTCGTTTGTCTTGTACGCCAACCCAGTCGTGACGGAGGACGGGGCCAAGGTGCTGTACGACGTCAACGCAGAATTCAAGGTCGTCAATTCTGCGTACCAGAAGTGGATGTGCTACGTGCAGACTGATGGGTACGCGATGTCCGGTGACAGCTACGACCAGACCACGTGTATGGAATGGGAAGCCTACCCGTACGCACTTCCGGCGGTGAACGCCATTGCCACTGCACTCATGGGACTTTCGCCTGGTGCTGAACCAGACGGTCACGACTGTCCGGGACACAAGTACTTCTTCCAACTTTTCAAAACCAGCCACACCGTGTGTGAAACGAATCCTGGCAAGATGATCACGATTACTGGAAACAACCTGGTCCTCACCGTGTCGTACGCGGACAAGATGAACTTGAAAAGGAACGGTGGTAGCAGCGCTGGGTGTAAGCCCGTGGCATTCCCAGCTTCTGTGGCGCCGATCGGCAAGTCGTTGCTAACTGGACAAAGCCTTCCGCGTACATCGTAGTGCGCTGGAAGGAGCGGGAAGCTCACTTGCTCGCCAGTGGCTGTTAGCATGAGTACATCTTCTGTGGCTACCTCTCACTTCCGGAGTAACTTGGCAGAAGCAATAAAAAGGGTTTTGCAGCCAAAGTACTTGTCATCGAGGTATGTGAAACGTGGTGTGTTTGTTTTGTCTTGTCTGTACTAGAAAGGGAACCTACACCACCTCACTTGACTTGAGAGCGAGATGCGACAAGTGAGCCTAGGTTATGGTGCCTATCATGTACAGTCGATTAAAAGTCACAAGTTGGGACAACACAGTGATTTCTACAGTGTCGTTTTCTCGATCGATTACGATCGGCCGGGACAACAGCCCAAAATTCACCAAGTTAACAACATGTACATAGGAGTGGTAAGTAAGAAGTCGACAAAGTAAGCAGAGACTCGAATTCAGTACTTGTCTGAACGTTCGTAGTTGTTTAGATTGTACTGCGGATGTACGAAGTGTATGTTTTTATATATATTCGATTCCGAAAACTCCTCTACTCGACACGCGTGTTCAGATTCCATCGCGGATCGGAGAGGATAATAATGTGAGTAGCTCATATAAGCTTAGCACTAACGCTGGCTGGCACTCTTCATCGCCTGATTGCGATCGGTCGATCCAGTAGGAGAAGATAAAAATGTAGTCTACTCTGCACATGATCAAGTCACGACCGATTTCATACATTGCGTCGTCGAGTGAAGTGGAGGAGCCTTCATACTTACCGCGGACAAACCAACACCTTACTGGATGTTTACACCCACAGTGTTCGCGCTCATGTGTGCTTCAAAGTAGATATCCGTAGCGAAAAGGAGAGCGTTACGGAAAGCACAGCTCCGTCGTTGATCCCTCACCATACACCCGTCGTCTTTCTGGTCAAACCCTTTTTTCGATGAAAAGCATGCCACAAAGGAACCCCGACTGGGACACGCCTGCAACCAACTCGGTGACGGCTGCATTCTGCCACAGATTCGTTGATGGAAAAGGTTCCTGCTCGTCTACTTCGTAGCGAACTCGCGCAACACATGGAAATGCGTTCGTCATGGCCTGCTTGATTTTTGCAAAGCGCTGACATTGTTTCCTTATATCCGAAGTCAACGCCGCAACGAGCTGCGAGGCGTCTCGATACCCGAGCGTGTTGATCCTCAGATGGTCCAATGTCGTCCAGTAGGAGCAAATGTGCCGAATGATGATATCTCCATGACGCCGTGCGACATTGGAAGTGAAGAAGCCATTGTACGGAATCATGTCTTCCCGCATCTCGTACGTCCGACGGTCAATCTCCATCTGATGCATGCCCTTTGCTTTCCACCCAGGAAGCTCCGCTTGCACAGCTGCTCGCCACTCCTTCACCATGTCTGCCACTTTTCGCTGGTACCGCTCGACTTCGTTCGCATACAACTGACAGACTGCACACGTGACTTCACCCGTCTGGCAGTCCATGTTCATGTTCTCCCAATGCAGCCCAAAGAGTGACGTCAGTTTCCCATTCCCTGTCTGAGCTCCTAGTGCTTCACTAATCCGACGTGCAACATCCTGATCGCAAACGTCCTTCATCTCTCTCTTTTTCTCCTCCCCGTTCAGCCTCTCAACTGACGGATGCAGTCGGACAATCACCGGTCTGGCCGTGTACACTGTTGCAGCATACTTGAATGAAATGTAGCTCTGTGGCAAGAGCTTGGACACCATAAAGTCAATGATCGAGAGCAGCGGCACGTGTTGCCACTGGGGCGTGTCGCGTACCGTGTCTTTCCAGTACGTCAATGCATTCCCTGCCGCCGTGCGCACGTGGCAGTCCGCCCACAGATCGGACGGTCGCGTTGCGTCTTCCATCACGTCGTCCCAGTCGCTCAACGCCAACCGGTCGCCGGTTTTCCACACAGGCGTCAAGTGCCACCAATCAGCCGCACATTTCTGGTGAAAATGCTGCGCGTATCGCGTCTTTTCGAGCGCAGTGGCCGTCAAGACACGGTCCAGACGCAGCCAGCGACTCGTGTTGAGCAAGCTGATGGCTTCGTGCAGGTCGAGGAATTCCACGAGCAGCGGGAGCGGCAAGCGGAAGAAAACGCCACTCGTCCCAGCGTCGAGAGTCGACGAACGCGCGCGTCGCATGAGGAGGGGGCGTCGGTACGAAAGGCAGGTGGCACCCGGACATGCCACGCGGGACAAGTATTGGCCAATCAATAGCCTGACAGACGGAAGGCCAGTTTTAAAGAGATATACAGGGGGGGTGGGACGTACCCCGCTTGTTGACGAATTGGCTTGGTCCGACAGTGTAGTGGAGACGTTGAAGGTCGTGGAGATCATAAAGCTGGACGGAATGGGTGGAGCGAGTAGGTCCACGATTGATGATAGCTACGACTTGTATCGAGTTTGTAATGTCACGACTGTGGGTGCTGTCTATTCATTTTGTCCTTCTACTCGGTAGTGTGTCGTTTTGTCTTCATTGCGGTCGCTGATTGAGACTCAGGAGCTTGTCGCGTCGCATGTTAAGACCTTGTTCATGTGATCTTTTCTCATTCTTTCGGTCTTAGTGACGGTGGAAGGTACCGGATGGAACCTGAAGAGCTCCTCGGTCTTCGCAAAGTGCTCACGGCCCAGGTGTTCGTCTGAGTAAGGCGCGAGATCGACACAATTCGCGATCAAGAGTTTGCCAAGGGATAGTGAGTGAAGTTTACCACTGACGCATGCAGCGAGTCAGCTACTCCGCAGGTTGTGTAAAGCGACGCATGGACGCATGTACAACATCAAGTTGCCATCTAACCGCAGCAACTAACCAGGTCAGAGTGTGTATATACCCCACCACGCTTTCGTCGTTCGCAAAAGGCGACCGTGGGCAATGCAACACTTCACCTTAACAACAAGCTCTTACTTGAAGAGCGAAAGTCCCATTTCTCCAGTTGTGCGCCACGCTCATTGAGCACATGTGGTTGGCTGCTGAAGTCGGCGATGCATTTATTTGTTCTCGTCGCGCACAGAATTTATACGGAGTTTCTACTCCACTGAGGGACGCTGAGAAATGCGTACGTGCATTTAGAAATGGGCAAAAAAGTGACGTCGAAGTAAATCAGAGCAACGATCTCCGCAACTCGTTCGACCCATTTGTGCGCTGACAAGTGGGATACCACTCCGTGTCAGACATGACGCAGCGACGACCTGCAGAAGGGACCGACAAGTCGCCATCAACGTGGATGAAGATGATCTCCTCGACGTTTCTAGGCGACGGATCGAACTCCTCCGTCTTTGCTCGACGCTCTTCCGCTAGTACAACAGGAGGCAGTACCGGCGTTTCTCCGGAATCGCTCCACCAATGGGCCAACCTTCAAGCTGAAAACCGACTGAATCCAACACCAGAGCTCAAAATCGCGCTGGTCGGCGGACCTGCCGTGGTAAACGAGTCAAGAGTTGCCCATTTCTTGAGAGGGTGTAACCTGTTCGTTGATTTTGATGCTTTTGTGGTGCTTGTTTTCGTGCACGGGCAGGGCAAGACAAGCATCGTACGACGCTGGCTCCAGCGCTCGTATTGTACCACATACTCTCATACAATTGGAGTGGACGTGAGTACGATGATGTACAAACATTGCAACCAAGAGCTGCTGCTGCATGTGTGGGACGTCTCGAGTGCTGAAGTCGATGCCAGCGCGTCATCACTGCACTCGTTGCTGTGCGAGGATCTGGATGGCATCTTTTTTGTCTTCAACGTGCATCGTGTGAGCTCCATTGCAGCTATTGACAAATGGCGGCACTGTCTGTCCAAGTACCTGTCGCCGAGGGAGACCCCGTGCTTTTTGATCTCGCACAAGGCCGATTTGTTGCAGAAACGCGTCATGACAAGTGACGATATTGCTACGTATGCGAGGGTAAGTAATGGATGATAGTGGGCTGATTCTTGGTTCCGTGGCAAGGGCTGATTGGAGGGTATGGTGAGGTAGGCGGCAGGGTACAAATGCTGGATGTGGACGGTTGGCAAGTCAACTTTCGGTGAGAACGAAAAGAATCCGGCCGTGAAGGAAGCGCTGGAGCGGATGGTAGAGTTCATTTGCAGGGATCGCATTGCGATGGAGCATGCTCGACTCTCGCGTTTGGAAAAACCACGGGTGAGTATTGCAGCTGGAACGACGCAATAAGAAAGTATGGGTAGGTAGCTGATATCGTTCATGACTTCAATCGCTGCAGGGTATTCTGGAGACATGTGGTGCCCCAGCACGCCTGGAAGTCATTCGCACTGACAGCGCGTTGCATCTCTTTCCGTCTTCTTTACTGCGGATCCCTACAAAAGCAATTACGACGCTACCACGTGATGAAAACATGTCGGTGACTTACGAAAGATCGATGTCCAATGATGGAGAGATGAAGAATGACATCACATCACACGTGACGGATCCATTGGGCTTAAACGATCGCCCTCTCACTTACGGTGGAAGCTGGATAATGGGTAGTGACAAAGGCGTCTACCTACGCGCCACCAGCAGCAGCATTCTTTGCAATAACGAGACTGATGATGACTCTGAGTCAGTCGATGAGTTTCAATTCCCATTTTCCGGTCTGCGAGAGATGAACGAAGAGGAAGATGCTGCCGCTGCAGCTGAGTCTCATAGGCGCGAGAAAGAAGAAGAAGCTCTGGAGCGACGTCGAGAAGAAGAAAGAGCTGAGAGAGATCGACGCAACGACCAGGAGGCATGGAGTTTTTTTGCTGGCAGCATTAGCCGAAATCGTGCCGAAGCTCTTCTTGAGTACGTCTCATGCGCATTGAAAGTGGCCATTTCAGATCACATTGTATAACTGCCGTTGTTTGTACAGAAACCGAGAGCAAGGCACTTTTTTGCTTCGTCGTAAGGATGCACGGACACTGGTTTTGTCCTACGTGGGGCCTGATCATGTGCATCATGTGCTTATTGAGTTCTCGAACCAGCGATATCACGTTGGCTCATCGAAAGTAACCTGACTTGTGCGCAACTGATGACCGCTTTGGCAGTACTAATTCGCAACTCCTTTTTTGCGACCAACAGGCATCGCTAGCGACATCGTGCAGCACGCTTTGGAAGTGCATACGAAGTGTGCGACGCTATGCATATCGAGGGCTCGTGTTTACTCGCAACGCGCGTTTCAGTGTACTTCACAAGAACGAGCTACTGCCTGAGGACAAGAGTGCTCTATCTGTGAGTATTCCTGATACTGTCACGCATATTGTGGAACCAGCAATGCCAAGCGTTTGGCATACCCGAACGCAAAGTGGATCAAACAGCTCCTTGGGTGAGCATAGCAACAGCAGCAACAGTCACCAAATGTCTCCCATCGCAGCACTTTGGCAAGCTCGCCATACACCCAGTCTGCAAGCCGATCAAGAGCAAGTGGACATCCCGCCGCAGACTTGTATCGACGAGTTGAGTGGCGAATTCTACGACCACCTGGCCGAGCGGTTGGCACATTTGGTTGAGCAGCAGAAGACAGAAAAACTTGGAGGAGGTAGAGCCATGGGTTGGTTGTCGTATCTTGCAGTGTCCTTACCGAACGCTTTTGTGGGGCAGATGTCGACAACAGTAGCAGTCTATCTGAGGACATTGGTCCACTCTTGGGAATGGTAAGATCGAAGCGGAGATTGCAGTAAGATATGAGGATGAAGTGTTGACGCCTTGAGGTATTGTTCTTTACAATGACGCTTAGGTGGAGCAAGAAAAGCGCGAGCTGCACCAGGTGTGTAGCAACACTGCCGAGAACCAATGGCACAAACTTGTCAGGACAATGGAAGCCTGGAACCGCATTGTCTTGAATCTGGTACGTGAACTGATTACCGTTCTTTGGTTTTGCACGTTGCAGTCGCTGACGCGTGTTTTGTGCAGGAGCTCACCGCGCTAAAAGCGACCTGAGAGACTTCTGCTTATTTGAAGAGCATTGCGACAACAACATTCACACGGGTGGCACTTTGCTTGCTTTATAATTGTGAAGCCCTACGTGTCAGCCGTTAATCAATCAACTCGTGTATCGGACGGGTGCTCGCGTTAATGCTGCTCTCAACTTCCCGTTGGGCTCCTTATGACGTTATCGGAGACGACTCCATTGGCAGATGAAGCCTCACTGGCGCTGGAAGTATACCTGAGTTAAATGAGATCGGTCCAGGGGGACAGGCATCCGGAGTTGACTGAGTGATGTGATCGCTTTACGAACGAGCGTCTACGATGACCAAATGTTGTTTGCAAGTGGTTCGTGGCGCGCTGTTGCCATTCCCGAGTCACATTGGAGTGGAGGCTGCTTTTGACGTCATGAGTGTTCGTGACTGTTTGTGTAGCTCGCTGTGCTGTGTGTGTGCGCATGCCAACGAGAATCAGTTTGAGTGTTTCAATGTCAAGTTTGTTGTGCATGACACTGCACCCCGGTTCACAGTGCGTATAATACGCCGCATCATGCACGTTATTCTCCGATGTTGGTCTGTCATGCATGGTACATAGCCGAAAGAAAAGGTACTCCGCGTAATGCTATGTGGCATATTCGCGCTGCAGTGCTACTACTTCGAGTTCTGCATGTATTCTACAACATGCATCAGCGAAGTGTTCGCTACGCATCAACACAGTCTCACTCTTACCAGACATCACATGGACTTGGTCGTAATCGAAGACACGACCGCACAGTCAAAGACAACGAGCTCAAAGCCATGAAGTTCCCAGATGCTACAATCGTCCGCTTTAGGCTTTCCGCTGCGAGTGACATCATTCGTTGCTTACCATCCACTGTAGCAAGTGCAACAAACAAATGTAAAGCAGATCGCAGCGTGCTGCTCACGAAAGTTCAACTGACATGTAAATGTTACCGGTTAAATGTTACCGTGTGACGATATCGTGACCTTTTCCGATAGTTTGCTGTGCTCAAGCCTGATGGCCATTGCGGCCTGCTACCGGATACCTTTTTGTCTCATCAGCTGTTTGAGCTCCGCATACTCCAGTGCTTGAGATTGCGTTTCATACTGTCATCTACCGTCCACTGCGCAGATTCCGCTGCGGTACTAAGATGTGCTGTTACGCGAACATGTTCTCGACATCAATGCAACAAGTGCTGGCAGTTGCAGGCTATGCGCCACGTAAACTGACCCTTTTCGCTGACCTGCTAGCACGCCCCGTCACAGGCCAAGTAATCAAACGAAGGTTACCATGCGCATATTTAGTGCTGCCGCCTGCTGTTAATTAGTCTTTTTACGGTTGGACTCTTGACTCCAACAAAATGACAATAACATGCGCCATTGCACATGAACGTACACACTCCGATCCTGGCTGCTCTATCCTCTTTGCTGACTTGGTTTTCTTTCAACCATTCGCCTTCGTTGCCGGGAAGCAACCCTGATACTTGCTTACTCACACTTGATGTTGCGGTAAATGCGCTTCGTGAACACACTGCTGCCGAGGTACCCGACAGTGCCGCACATGATGAAGAACGCGAAGCAAAACAGTCCCCTACATGTCCGAACAAAAAGAGCGTACACCGTAAGCATCGTGGCCCACACGTAGACATACACCACCTCATGATCACTTACATGTAGCCGAAGTAGAAACACGTCTGTAGGAAGCCCGACATGTTCGTCTTGAAAAAGTAGAAATAGATGGCGTAGATAAAGACGTAAGCTGCCGTGCTGCCTGCCGCCGCAAAAGACGTCCAATGCCACCGGTAGTTTTCAGCATTCAGCAGGAAATAAGTGCACACGATTGTTACGCAAAGCGTCACGATCGTCAGGATGATGAACACCAGCAGCATGAATCCATATACGTAGTAGAACTTGTAGTTCCAAAACGAGGCAAAGATGAAGTACATCTCGATGAAAATCGATCCGAACGGCAGCACGCCCGTGAGAGCGATCAGTACCGGCGGGCGCAGATACCAACGTGCCTCGGGTATGTCGCGTGTGAACTTGTTCACACGGCACGGAAAGCCTGCTTTCGCAGCACCATGTCGCCCCAAGATCGTACCCAACACAGCAAGCGGGCATGATACGAAAAACCACACTAACACCACCTGCACGATCGTCACAAACGGAATGGCATACGTCGTACCATATAATACGGCCAGCGCGTTGATGAAAAACACTGACACGAACGTGACAGTGGGAAGCAATGCCGACGACATACACATAGCACGGATCCAGTCCTTCGAAATGCGTGGGTAGAAAAACTGGTGGTAGAAAGCGCCACTTGCGTATCCGTTAGCCAACGAGGAGAAGGCATAGACGGTAAGTCCGACGGACACGACACCACCGGGCTCAATGTAGAGTGACGAGGCGGTAGCAATCAGAATGAGACACACGGAGAGCACCAACAACTGCGCTCCTGTTCCCACAAATGCCGTGAAGAGCAGCAAAAATGGCGGGGCACGGAACACATCGCCGTGCAAGAGTTTCCAGCCCGAGTTGGCATCATCTTTGAGCAGCGACGACTTGCCATCCATCATCATCTCCTCAGCGTCATCAGCAGCAAAGCGCGCATAGTCATTCTTGAGCGTACGTAGCAAGATGAGCGCTACGAGACCGCAGAGAAAAATGACCATCATGAACGAGTTAAAGATCGAAAACCAGTGGATCTGATGCTCAAAGAACTCGTCCTCCAAGTACCGATCGAAGCGACCGTCAAACGGGATCGTCGTCTCGGACCACTCAGCCTCGTACGTGAACTCCACCTTCTTGTTCGACGCAATGGACGTGAGCACGTCCGAGTACGTGAGATTCACGTGGATAATGTTGGGTCCATTGTACGAGATCGAGTACTTCTTGTGTGTATACAGCACACGCGAGCCAACGGGAAAGCGCTTGAGGAGCTCCAGGTCGTCCGTGGGTTTCATGACTTTGCCCACGAGGCCCCACAACGGCAGGTCGTCCACGTTCATCTGGTACCAGTAATGATTGTCCACAGCCGCTGCAAACTGGAGCGCGTCCGTGTCCGAGAGCGTCTGTTCACACAGTTTTGTCTTGGCCGTTGGCACGCGAAATTGGAGCTGCTGGCCCGAATTAAAGAGTTCATTGCCTTCGAGGATCTCGCCAACACCAAGGGCGTGGGCTTCAGGTTCTTCGCCGTCCGAAGCACGACAGAAAGGGAGCGTGTTGTAGGTATAAGTCTCCTGGGGGTTATTAAATGGCCCGATCTTGTTCACCCACACGATCACGTCTTCACCGGGTGTATACTATACATGTGTTGGGAGTTATGACAAATAAGAGGGAAACGGACCGAACGTCAGGAGGAGGTTATGACAATGTAAAGGTCAGGGGCAATATACTGAAGGGACGGACCTCGTGGGTCTCCACATCTGCGGAGACGAGCGGAACGAGGGCAGCGACGGTCAGTGCCGCGAGGGACGTCCACGTGCTCATGGGGTTCTTTCCCGCTGCGATGGGGTGGGTGGTCGGTCACGTGCCTTCTGGGTAAAAGGTGGGGAATGAGGCACTTGAGCGGAGAGTGATGGTTGTTTCATGTATACACGTTGTGGGATATAAAGTATCACAGGTACGAGTTCGAGGTTTAATGAATGATTACTTTTGTTTCTGGTGGAAGTGAGTGGATGTGCAAGGCTGGAGGTTTCGATCGGAGATAGTGTGGCGCACATGGTCGGGAAAGCAGCGTAAGTGACCCGAAATTGCAGCAAATGTTCGACACGCAACTGCTGTACATACGAATGTACGTCCGTTGTTGATTGTTATGTGTCTATTTGTGGAAATACAATTCTGATTTTGTATTGCCCAAAAAGACCCTGGCTGGCTCAAGCAGCAAAGCTCGACTGGAAGGTGCTGAGTGCTTTATGTTCGAGATTGATAGAAAAGTAGTCGTAACTATTTGGTAAACGACAACGACATTTATCTTTTGTTATGCCTTTACCTACTTCTCACCCGTTATCCTTCCTGTCCACTCGATTTGCAAATGTCGCATATCATGTCGCACTATGTATACACCATACGAATACAAAGTCAGCGCCACCCTTTCTATTATCTTCCAGCGCGCCTCATGTGCAATCGTACTGCAACGAGTCTTTTCTAACACTCTATCTGGGCAATTGTAACGGGGCACCCTGAAGCTTGTACTGATGACAGTGCAAGCTACTTATTCTGATGACTGAAGAAGGCGGTGCCGCGTAACTTCACGTACACTCGTACGTGCAGAGGAAGACGGTAAGAAGAATCGAGTACTTGGTTAAAGTAAAAAGTAGAGCTGTATTTATAATAGTTAATGTCTGCAATAAACCACTGTTTATCCTCATCTAACTATGTCTGAATACAAATGTGTATATCAACTATCTGCTCACCACTCATTGCGTGCGTCTGTCGTGGCGCGTCTTCGTTGGTTGATGAAATGGTCTATATCAACCAATTAGGAACTACTCGTAAGTGCTACAGAATATTTGTTCTTATGACGATATTCTGTGAATATAACTCTTCTAGTTGTATTCAATTAACAATTTCTTATAAATTGTTATGTAACGATTCACCCCGTTACATCACCCCCCCCTTAACCATCAGTCACTCATGTCTTCACAGAGTATGAGCTCGGTGTCTCGTACTCTCCTGATGCGGAAGAGGGGTCCTTATCGAAGGCGGTTGAAACCAAGCCGCCTGCCAAGCGTGGCATGGATGATGCTATGCGTCGCAGCATCTTCGGTTCGTCTGACGAATCAGATGAACCATCGCCAAAGCGAAGGCGCTCGAGATCGCAAGACTCGGGCGCTCACAGTGGTGTCGGTTCTCCTATGGACATCACTTCGCAACGAGGTGCCAGTACTTCTGTCGGCACGTCGCAGGAAGAGCGGGACCGCAATGTCTTGCGTCTCGCTCCTGATAAGAAGGCATGGATGCCTCCCAAAGTCGGTCATGGATCACTTGTCGGCGACGACGAGTGATCATTATCGAACACGATTGTTCGATTCGTCAAGGATCCATCACCTTGACCCCAGCACGAAAAACTATCGCGCTGAGAATGAATTCTTCATCGATGCTTTCTTTAAGCATCGATGGTACAGTGGGAATCACAAGCGTGATGGTCCCTCATTGCTTCAGGCGTGAAACGCCTACATCCATAACCTTGAGGATGTAGGTCGTGACGCTTGGGACGACAAACTTATCAAAGCTCGTGATAAGTTTGAAAAGCGAATCCCGACAGGTGCACGCTATGAGCTGCATCGTCTGTCAAGGGAGAAGAGATTACCCTGCCTCTCACGGGGAGACTCGTGCCCATGTTGTGTGAACAACTCTGCACGAGCACCTAAGGAGGCTTACCTCCTTACCAGCCCGTGGTGGCGCGTACGTATCTCTACTGAGATGTACGAAGGGATTGACAACCTGAAATCCCTTTACGACCGTGCCGGGAAGACTTTCTCCGGCGGTCCTTCTGCGGCACAGGATGTGCCGCGTCGTACTGCTCAACCAGACCCAGTACGTCGATCATCAGTTGGGAGCGGGGCTCCCAAGAATCCCAGGACGGGGGATAGCCGCGCCACCGGACGAGATAACTCGTCCGACGTCCGTTCACGTCGCGGTGGTTCAACAGCCACTCAACCAGATAGCGCTGGCCACCGCGAGAGTCCTCCAATGGAGGTGGAGGAGGAGGGAAAACGCTCTCCAAACTATCGTGGTGGAGCGTGTGTCTCCGAGAGCCTCTTTGATCGCGTAACGCTTGCGTTACGAGGCGACCTCGAACATGAGCGGTACAGGCGTCTCCAACTGGCGGACGCTGTCTCGAAACATCGAGCTGAGTTTGCCTTTGCTCAGCTTGAGAACGAGAGAGCTCTGACATCTCTGCGTGACGAGCTAAGGGTAGCTCGTGGGACTGTTGATCGGTCTCGGGATGAGATAGCTGCTCTTCAGACCCTTGTTGATGCCCACCATCGGGAGCACAAGACTCTCTGCGAGATGCTTGAGCGCAAGGGCGTTCTTCATCGGAAGAATCAGCGTACTGATGGTACGGCTTAAGCCGACCAACGTAAAACGTGGGATGCGTTCGCATCTTACGTGGCAGTTCGATCGTGTATGCGTTGCCTAGGCGATGCAATACACGAAATGGACCAATGTACTTAGGTAGAAGTTTACTACTACCCAAGTTAGTCACTACATGCTTTGGTAAATTAACCGTAAACAGTAGGACTAAGTCACCTTTATTAAATAAAAGAGTGTTTGCCCTTCCATTCTTGTCAGCGTTTTACTTTTGCTTATCCACCGCTTCGGCGATGGAGTCTTGCACAAAACGGACTACCGTTTCACGAGCCAGTATGAACTCATCTGATGACTCGTTAGCTTCAGTGCGCTGTGAGTGCACTGCAGCAATATCAATCTTTTCTTCAGTGAGGGCTTCCGCGCTCTCACTGGCAGCATCTTCTTCGATATCGATGTTATCGATGTCGACATCAAACGCAATGACCCCTTCGTCAGAGCGTGATGAGCGTGAACCAAATCGGTTTTTGCTCGCGCGAGTCTCCCCCCCCACCTTAAACCTGAGTTACACTCTAGTAAGGTGGGTACACGCGGATGGCGTAAGCCATTCACGTAAAACGGTGTATGTGTCGTGGACGCATGCACCGAGTTGTTAATGGCAAACTCTACCATCGGCAAAAACTCACTCCAACTCTTAAAGGAGTGTACGTATCCTCGCAGTATCTCTTCAAGGACACGATTGGCTCGTTCCGTCTGACCATCTGACTCTGGATGATCAGATGTCGACATCTTCAAGCGCGTTCCGAGTGATTTGAACACGGAACGCCAGAAATCAGCAGTAAAGCCTGGATCTCTGTCTGATACGAGTTCACGGGGCAACCCATGATGTCGGAAGATGGTGTCGATAAAGACACAAGCACAGCCACTTGCCGTGATTGACTCTGGTACAGCCACAAGGTGTACCTTTTTGTTGAATCTGTCAACAAATACAAGAATACCCGTATTCCCGCGTGCGTCTTTGGGTAAACCGAAGACAAAATCCATTGAGATGGATTCCCAGCACTCTGCCGGAACCGGTAGAGGCTGTAAAGGTTCACGCAGTGAAGGACTTGACTTCACTCGTTGGCAGACTTCGCGTGCGCGAACATACTTTCGCACAAACTGATACTGGCGGGGCCAGTAAAAGTCTCGACTCACCGTGAGATATGTTTTCTCCCGGCCACGATGTCCTCCTATAGGAGCATCGTGATACTCGAACATGATCCGCAAACGCAGATCAGTGTCATCTGGAATGACAACACGTGGTGTGTCACCAGAAACGGCTGTATAATACAGTAACCCGTTGCGAGTAGTGTATCGATCTGATGCAGATCGATACGCAGAAGATAATCGTTTCAACGATTCTTTGATTGGCTGTGAGAGATGTGTCAACAACTTCACAATCTCACCATCTTGGGCATACGCCCGCCTCACATCATCATGTAACGTTGAAGATGGGACTGAGGACGTCATAACCGCAACAGTGGCTGTCTTACTGTTGGGTTTCACGACTGGTTCAAAGTCGGGACGACGTGAGAGTGCATCGGCGACGACATTAAGTTGTCCTGGTTTGTACTCGACCGTAAAGTTGTATTCTGCAAAGAATGATAATAACCGCGCCATTCGTTGTGAAAGGTGCGGGCTGTTTACTGCCGTGCGTAACGACGCATGGTCAGTGTAAACAATGAAGGGTCTATCTCCTAATAGATAGACTCTGAACTTCGCGAGTGCATACTTCATGGCAAGGAGTTCCTTGTCATGCACTGGATAGTTCCGCTCAGCTGGTTGCAGCTGAAGCGACTGATAGCAGACGACGCGTTCAACGCCTTCAAGATCGTATTGCATTAATGCACAGCCGATTGCGAAATCGCTGGCATCACAGACCACATGAAATGGCCTGTCCCGATCGGCAACTGCTAGCAATGGGGATTGTATCAAGATCTGCTTGATACCATCAAAGGAGCGCTGACATTCAGCTTTCCATAACCACCCCTCGTTCTTTTTTAACAAACGAGAGAGGTGTACAGTCATCTCGGCGTAATTGCGTGAATACTGAAGCAAATACTCCGCTAGCCCAAGGAATTTTCGAAGACCTTTGAAATCGACTGGCACAGGCCAGTCGGTGATCGCCTTGATCTTTTCGGGATCAGATCGTACACCGTTCTTACCAACGATGCACCCAAGAAGTGGTATTTCGCTTGCTGCAAGTATACACTTCTTGAGGTTTGCATACAATTGATGCTTTCGCATGATTGTAAGAACCTGTCGGACGTGGTACCTGTGGACCTCAACGTCCGACTTTCCATCCATATCTCGACTATGGATGAATACGTCATCGAAATAACTCGGCGCGAATTCTCGTACTGGTCTCAACAGATGTGATACACATCTGTTGAACGTGGCAGGGGCATTACTAAGCCCTTGTGGCATTACTAGCTATTCCCAGAGCATGCCTCTAGGCGTGCTTACTGCGGTATAGGGTATGTCCCGTTCTCGCATAAGGATTTGATAGAAGTAATCCATCAAATGCATGGACGAAAAGATGGTACTCTTTGACATACCATCAATGGTTACGTCCTTCCTCGGTATCGGCGTCTGAGCCGGTACCGTTGCAGCATTTAACTTGTTAAATGCATGCACAATCCGCCACCCTCCTGTTGCTTTTTCGCTCACAGAAGTTTGGAGAGCTATGTGGGGAAGTTGATTCCCTCACATGGCCCGCAGCTAAACGATCGGCAAAGAACTTGTCGATCGCAAGTACTTGTTCATGAGGCAGTGGCCACTGCTTCATGACACAGTACTTCGAGCCTGGTTAAAGCTCGACTTCGTGCCGAGTACCTTTATCCTTCGGTAATTCGCACGGAACAGTTTCAGGGAATATATTCTTGAATTCAACCAAATCCTTATAAAGAGGATTTGTCTTGAGCGATTCCCACGATTGGGAGTCATATCGCTCAATTCGTGTCTTTTCATCTAGGACACTCTAGTCCATAGATGAACTACTGAGAACTCTCTCGTTCTCAGTAAACACTGTTGCTGACCTTATGTCGGTTACGCACTCGTCGTCAGCGACGAGTACGCAGATCTGCTTGACTTTGCCACTACGCAGATCACGCAAGAACCTTTTATGTTCGAGCGTTGGCGACTGAGTGATCTCCGAAGTCAACTTCGGAGGCGCAATCAGATCAAGTGTATAAGCGCCTACACTTGATCCGTTATTGACTATGACATTCAGTGTCTCTGTCATTTCCTGGGGACTTATTCCTTCGGCTTCCCGGGGACTTATTCCCTCGGGTTTCGAAGAATTTATTTCCATCGTATCTGTAATATCGGAACTTATTCCCTTAACTTCCTCTAGCTGGGGTTGCGCAACCACAACGAGATCCTCTACGAAAGACTCTCCAGTCGATCTAGGATTATCGTTTCGCTTAACCTGAGCGATCGATTGTTTCTCTTCTAGATGTTCCCCGCTAGGGATACATTGTTGTCCCGGTCCACTCGACTTATTCGAGTGGTGGATCTTTGGCGCAGCCTGTGTTTCATCACAGCCGCCGGAAGCTTGCTCCGAAGTGTAGCCGTTTGGTACACTAAGGTTTTGTGCAGTCGTACTAACGACCGTACCACGAGTGAGGCCATCGCACTCACTCGTAGTACATCCACACGCTTGTGGACGCTCCAAAGCGTTCATCAGATGGCCATCTGATGAACAAGCGGCATGCATCTTTACTGTTCGATGTTGCCAGTTTACCCGTGGTTCGTACCTTCTGAGCCACGGTACTCCAAGGATGACATCAAATTTGTCATCCAAATCCAATACGATAAAGTCATCGTCATATTGGGTATCTTCCTGCGTGTAATGGATCTTCACTTTACGCTTCATGACGGTTACGGATGCGCCTGTCGCAAGACGTATCGTCATCCTCGTAGGAGGTGTGTCAAACTCAATGAACTTAAAGTGACCATCTTCTAGCGATTGGCGTTGCACAAAATTGTTGGACGCCCCACAATCGACTAGAGCTCGAAGGGACAACTTATTCGTCACTTCGAGTTTCAAGGTAATGAGTGAGATCTCATTACCTAGAGCAGCAACGCACAATATTTGTGTGTTGGGAACAACCTTCATCAAGAGGCCCACAAATTCTCTTGACGTTGCTGGACCAGTAGGGTGCTCCGCACCTACTGATCCTGTCCGTTTTTTGACGGTCCATCCCGTTATTGCGTCTTTGCACCAGCAGCGGACCCGCGTCCCTGCCCCTTTCTCATGGGTGGACGGTCATTACTCCCAGTGTTGCGAGAAACTGGACGAGGGGTACTACAATCGTAAGCGTAGTGTCCTGTCTTCTGACTTCTGTTGCATCTCTGCAACTTCTTGTAGCCTGTAGAGCGAGCCTTCTCGCTCTCTACATAACAGAGTTTCATCGTCTCTGGACCTCCGCTGTCATATCGTCTAGGTTGACGATATGATGTCGAGCTGGCGCGAGCCTGTCTCAGACTGAAGTCTTCCTTTTCCGCAATGGAAATGGCTTGTTCTAGTGAATCTAGTTCAAGTCGGAATAGGTGAGTCTCGACGGGACCATCCGCAAGACCCTGCATGAACACCGAAACCGACGTGTGTTCATCAACCGGGTTGGAACTTATACAACTCGTAAGATGTCGTATATGTTGTGCGTAAGCGTGCACATCACGCTTACCCTATTCGAGCTTCAAGATTTCGGTTCGAGCTCTGAACTCAGCTCTAGGCGGTTCAAACGTTTGTCTGAGCCGCGACTTGAAGACTTCTAGCGACCCAAACGCATATGGGTCGTGCAACTCGAGTCCCAAAGCCCAAGTCTTGGCACGTCCTGCCAGATTTGATTGGGCAAATGCAACTTGCATGTCCCCGTCGTCGATGCGACGCGCCCTTATGGCGTCGTCTAATTCGACAAACGATCTCAAGAGGGAGTCCTCTTCGACTCCCCTATACTTGGAGATGTCAATCTTCAAGGTTTCGGGTCGACGCGAGTGCATTGACCCGCCAGCATCAGCCTGCTGCTGTCTCAACAGTTCAAACTGTTGAGCACCCTGTTCGCTCAACAACTCTGCTTGTTGAGAACCTTGTTGGTGAAGCAAGGCTACTTTCTCGCGTTCTGCGTCAAGTTCATTTTGAATGAACTTGGCGATAGTAGCATGTTGGGCATCTCTATTGAGAGCTTCTAGCATGACGCTAACAGCATGGATGCCCATGGTTGAACCCATTCGTTCAACCGCATCCCATTCGACATCGCTTAAATGGGAGTAGCCGTCGCGCGTAGCGTGAAAGCTTTGGTCATATTCGTCATCCAACATATTCATGTTGGATGTGAACGTGGTCGTTGGACGGACTACGAAGTGCTACCAGGTGTAACGGGGCACCCTGAAGCTTGTACTGGTGACAGTACAAGCTACTTATTCTGATGACAGAATAAGGCGGTGCCTCGTAACTTCACGTACACTCGTACGTGCAGAGGAAGACGGTAAGAAGAATCGAGTACTTGGTTAAAGTAAAAAGTAGAGCTGTATTTATAATAGTTAATGTCTGCAATAAACCACTGTTTATCCTCATCTAACTATGTCTGAATACAAATGTGTATATCAACTATCTGCTCACCACTCATTGCGTGCGTCTGTCGTGGCGCGTCTTCGTTGGTTGATATCATGGCCTATATCAACCAATTAGGAACTACTCGTAAGTGCTACAGAATATTTGTTCTTATGACGATATTCTGTGAATATAACTCTTCTAGTTATATTCAATTAACAATTTCTTATAAATTGTTATGTAACGGGTCACCCCGTTACACTGCCGTAAGTACTGCTATCTTCTCTGCAGGTTGGGAATTGTAGATGGAGCTAGTTCAAATTGCCCTGCAATTTAGGGATTCGTATCACCACTTTGGATCACACTTCGTTGAGACAAACATCGACATGATTTTTCCATCGGGGCAGAGCGCGTTCAGTATACTGAAGCGTGTCAGTGCACCCTTACGCACTTTGCCTACGATTACAGGGAATACAATCAGGTGCAGATTTGTATCCCGCCATATTCAAAGAGCATAACGTGGATATCGAGTTAACAACTTGACCAACAGCGAACAGAAGAGAACAGTACTAAGCACTTTATAAGATGTTGTGAGTGATTAAATTACAAATCCAGCATCAATCAAATACAAACGTTGCAACAGCCGAACCAGTCGCAAAATCGGTACCTATGAATTACGAAATTAATGTGTACTACACGAAATTGTAGATTATTCCTTGCTCGACCCCGAGCTGTGTGGGGAAATGTATTGTGCAGGCCTCTCGCACTGTTGCTATATATGCGAAAGGAAGATAGGGGAAGGGCGAAGAATAAAAAATGACGGTAGCCGCCAATACAACGTCTGAATTGGATTTAGCGCTGACCACCGTAACATATGACTGTGATGCATTCGTAAATGATTGGTTTTAAGCCGTGCGATGTTCCGTTCAAACGAATCGAAGCTAAAGGTGCTGCAATTATGAGAACCTACTGATGTGCTAAGCTATCGTTACTGTTCTCACTATATATGATTGACGAATGTTTGAATTAAGACCGTAGAGAGTATCGTGTATTTGCTTAGGTCGGCTTTTTTTACCTTCGTATCGTTTGTAAAGTAGCCACGGCTGGCTACTTGCCTTGCCACACTAGGACGATTCGATTGTCGCGCAGCGCGTTTGACGGGCCTTGGTAGAGGTAATTGGGACTATACATCACGACAAGGGTCGTTGCTGCGGCGACCGTGCACTCAAGAGCAGTAGCGACTCACATGTTCCGTAAACGCCAAATCACGTGGACAAGTGCAGTTGTGGTAAAGTCACTAATCAACTTTTGGGACGTGGATCGGTGATCACCCAGTGATAACGCCACTAACTGGCAGAATACAACAACGGGTGATCTGGCGATCCAATGGGAAATATAAGGTGATCTCAACGGTGATCAGCGAGCCGATCCGATTGCCACTACGATGACAGAGACGGGGCGATATCTGGGACCAGCCGACATACCGGAATAAATTCTACGGACCGATCTGATAAAAGACGCCAAACAAAAGGGTTTTTATGGGATCCGAGACGAGACGCAAAAATAGACGCTTTTCGTGGTGTAATCTGGGGTAAGGAAGTGGGAAGTATTCATACAATTTACCTGAATGTTGGTCGAAGACAAGGATAAGCATTTTGGAGCAGTTGAAGACTAGATCGCAAATCTATCTGCGAAAGTCTTGTGATTGAAGGACATTGGAACGTCGAATCAACTGGATATGGCAACGGTCATGGATATTGTGGCCAAATTACTCTGGAAAGGTGTATCTGGAATTAGGAGATATGCTATAATTCTGCGAAGGAAGTGCAGCCCCATGCGGACCAGTGATACTCTTTACCGAACCTATAATGGGCTTACTGATTTTGGTTAATTATACACCAATCAGTAAGTCTTGCATACTCAGCAAAAGTCAAAGGAGCCGATGTTTATATATTTGATTGAAGCTATTAATTAAATACCACTGCAGGATGATATTGAAGCACGTACGAGGAGATGAAAAAGTGTTAATAGCCGATCTGGACCAGATCGACCTTCAACATGTCGATATTGGACGACAGATCGGTCATATTCCACACTGACCATGAAAATAAAGCTGATGAAGATACAGGATCATGTGGAATTTACTTTCTGGAGGTCCCTAAGTGATGTCAAGAATTTTTAGACCGAAATAGCCTGTGGAAGCCGTCCGAATTGACGTCACAAAGTGGATGTGGACATATTCGGCAATATGAGTCCTATATTGCGTACTTTGTCGCCAAGGATGGGTATTTGGTACCATATTTAAGATTTGGATACATTTGTTGTTCTAGGTACGATATCGGGAATACCGGCGCTTTCATTGCAATTCAGGGCACAAAATTTCGACACGTGGCAAGGCAGCAATCCTGGTTCAAGATGATATTGGTTTGGAGAGTGACCCATAGTTTTAAAGTAGGCTTTAGGGTAGGTTAAATAGTAATTTGGTTGGTAAATAAACAGACTTGAACTATTCTTCTTCCACACACTCCACGTGCCTCCCTTTTCGGGTAAGAAACCTTTGGCTTACCGACGGCTTGAGGTACGAGTGCCCAATGATAATAAATGCCGATCTTGGATTGTTGGTCAAGATCGACAAGAGGGATATTGGGGAATTCGGCCTAGATTGATCAAATGTTCACAAAATCAAATCACTGCTAGGGTAGCAGCAACACGGTACAGACGTTTGGTTACAAGATCGCTAGACTGCTCAAGTGGTTAGATGATCTGAACAAGGCGTTCAGGACAAGACCGAGCATGACCGACGCGATCCACAAGGCAGATCGGCACGTTTCATTTTGGCGAAATCAAGACTTATCTGCCCACACTGCGCACTTCTGACTAGATCGGCCGATCTCGAAACCAGATCAGACCGGTCTCGAGGCAAGATCGCCGCACACTCATTATATTCGCTGAGTGAAGATTCCTACGCAATAGACCCCGATTCCGAATTTAAGATCGAGATCGGTGCGATCCGAGATCAAGATTGCTACCTCTCTGAATAAAGGATCGCAGCGACCCAAGATCAAGATCGCAGAACCAGTTCGTGATGTGAGATTTTCCTCGCCGGAAGCGAGCTCTCAACCCCAAACCTCATCGAGATCAACATCTTCCAAGGCCATTACGAAGAGCTCAAGCCAGCATAACCGACGGGTACACAAGGTGAGCACAAGGTCATACCACAAGGCACGGATCGGAGTACCCCCTCCGTGAGTCGGCAAGTCTAAGCAAGTGGAATATCGCGTTTCATATAGGGAATTTCGTGAGATGGACTTCATGACACAGTGCTATCGGTACAGCAGCATTGCACGACCATCTCGATGTCTCCGCCGAAGTATTTAGCAATGTAAAATTGCAGGACATAACGGAGACCCAAGTTAGTCATATTAGGCAACACAGACATTGAGCAGCGTTTAACGGTTTATTACACACGTATTCCTCTCTCTCCAATGTTTTAATCATTACCTGCATAGATTAGATGCCGGGATAAGCCACGAATTGCAAATTTAGTTTAGTAAAATGGAAATAGATCCTCGTTTGTGGGTATCCATCGTAAGGATGCCGGGAACGGCGTTTGCAGTCTTGACATGGCAACACCACCAATAAAGCAAACACATGACCCAGATAAGTTTTTTCGCAGCGAGGTCATGTCCGTTTAGTGAACAGCTGAGATTGCACCAGTCCAGTGGCACCACTAATCTCGCATGATTCGATCGCTGCCGTTTTGCCGGACATCACAATGCTATAATAGTATTTATTCCGTGACTATTTTAATCTTGGCCTCCAGGGCCTTAAAATTTATCGGTCACCCATAGAATAACGTGGTACACATCAATTCTGTCACAAAATGGCGCTGGTTGTGCAACTGGTGAGGGGTTTGCAATGTTTGCATCGGGTAGGTGCTCGATTTGCGATTTACTCGTTCCGGATATGTTGCATGTTATTGTCAAGGGCGTTCAAAAGTCTTGTCTTCTTGGAAGTGTGCATTGTCGCAACGTCACTAAGTTGCTTGTCAATTGTACTGGACAATTAAATCGCCGACCTCCAATGCGCTCCGACCAGGATAAAGTCAGTACGACATTTTGTTGATCACTATAAGTGTCTCGGGGATCTAAAATGTGATGGATTAAAGCGAATTCGACTGTACTCGATACCGCCCTTACTGCCCCCCATCCCCCACGCCACACCACGCTCCGCCCCACTGCTCCATCCGACCTGACACGTCGGAGAGGTAGCTGCGAGATCTTTACTTGTCCATCTACTCTGATTGGTTATTATTTTTGCATTTGACCAATTTGATTCGCTAGTAAAGAGTTTTACATCATTACTCTCACCCTATTGGTCAATACAATCAATACGGAAATAAAGTGCGGTCGGAGGTTTGACGTTATTTGTCCATAGTTTCTACTGGCGACATGAGACTTTAGTGCATAGAAACTCGTTGATCAGAGTTTGAACTAAATGAGAATTCAGTGCTAAACTAGTTGGCAACCAGACTAAACCAGCCAATGTTTGCAGTGTACATTTCGTACTTATTCGTGTTGCAGTCCTTGTAACGTGTTTAAGTTCATTTACTGGACGATCCTTAGCGTTTTTTACTGTAAGCACTAGCAGAATGAGAAGGAATTACATTGACATGAAAAAATGGATCATTCTCCCAGATGGCCGTGGTCTGGAATCTTGGTCAAAACCTTGAACTACTCTTTACAAATTTGATGCTGCCCGCGCCATTCTGCACGTCGGTATTCCTAAGTACCGGTGTCTTGACTGGCTTAACATTCTACATTTGCGACATTGGGTATCGCAACTGTGGTTCTTCGCAGTCGTGATAGATGCAAAGCAGTCATTTCAACTAGAAAACTTTTGACGATGTCGGTTGCCGGCTTTCGATGGTAAGGCTGTGGTCGATTTATTGGCTTTGTTTAAGAGAAGTTTGCGGGGCACATTGAGTATAGAAGCTGCAGCTGGTAGCACCTTAGTGATAGAGCGTAAGGCCACGTAAAAGCGCACAGTAAATAAGTGAAGAGCAGCTAGGAGTCTATATAGACATTGTAGCTGATCTGTATATACTGCGCCACCTTGGACTTCAGTTGCGGATATGAATTGGTAGAGTCCTTGGAATTTGTCCGTAGCGAGGCCTGGTCATAACACCATTTTACATAACGTTAAGTCTAGAGGTGTGTGCTATGTCAAGCAGCCAATAAAGGATTCAGGCGACACAAGCCGTGAATACGTCACCTGGACGTGGCGACCAAGTTTTCAATAAGAGAGCTTATCCGCGTTACTACGATCGATTCTTGAAGCAGGCGGTTATCTTGTTAGGCCTGGAAGTTCCGATACGCGGAGAGCAAAAAAGATGCAAAGCCAAAATCACATTTGCTCTCACTTATACGTAGTTCGCCATCAATACACAAGGTAAGATCACGAGGAATAAGTTGCTGTTTTTATCAAAGTAATACCATCTAACACTTTGGTTTCCTCAAATCAACGGAATGCGATCTCAATACATATCTCATCATGACATGGATCTGAGCTGTCATGTTTGCACTGTGATCTTTCCAATAGAATTGTCTAGCATTGAACGGGGCACAAATTACAGTATAAGATGCAGACCGATCGTACATCGAACAGTCTTCTTGTTACGGGGTGAATCGTTACATAACAATTTATAAGAAATTGTTAATAGAATGTAACTATAAGAGTTATATTCTCAGAATATCGTCATAAGAACAAATATTCTGTAGCACTTACGAGTAGTTCCTAATTGGTTGATATAGACCATTTCATCAACCAACGAAGACGCGCCACGACAGACGCACGCAATGAGTGGTGAGCAGATAACTGATTTACACATTTGTATTTAGACATAGTTAGATGAGGATAAACAGTGGTTTATTGCAGACATTAACTATTATAAATACAGTTCTACTTTTTACTTTAACCAAGTACTCGCTTCTTCTTACCGTCTTCCTCTGCACGTACGAGTGTACGTGAAGTTACGAGGCACCGCCTCATTCTGTCATCAGAATAAGTAGCTTGTACTGTCACCAGTACAAGCTTCAGGGTGCCCCGTTACACTTCTCGACAACAGTTGCTGTAGAGAGCGCTAGTTATACTAGATTGAGTTGGTATCAGAGAATCGCGCTCAGGAGCGACAATATTGCATGACTTGATAGTTGCTACCAAATGCGTAGGTCGTGGGTTGCAATTATCTTTCATCTCAGACGACGGACGCGTACCATGCGCATATAGGAACGCGCAAACCGACGTAAAAATCATAGGGAGACGACACATATTCGTGTGTGATACAGAGGAACACGTAGTTTGCGATCTGTGCTTGCAGTTTATACAGGGCAGATAACAACTAATTACCCCATCACACCAGTTTTGTACAAATTGATTAACATCACTTGACTAGTGACGAGTCACCCTTGTGTCGCTAGAAAAAGAAGAACCTACTTGCTTTTACCGCTACATGTTAGCTAGACCATATTATAAAATTCACCACTCTCTCACTTCGCATCTGATGCAAGACCACTACAGTGATCCTACTCCAAAGAGTTTCGGAGTACCAAGGTAGTATCGATCGTTTTGTGGATGGGTGGATGTAAGCGGTAACAATACAACGCCTGCTGCGAAACATCTACTTGTCATTAAATAGACGTTGGCTTTTTGCGACATTATAGAGAATACCACATGAACTGAATTGAGATTGATCAGAGCAGCAACGATACTACTCTCGTGTTTACATTCGTTATTACCAGTCGCTATTGCTGAGAATGATGAGGGAAATGTAGAGTGTGCCACGCTCTTGTTCATCACATTTAGTTTAGCCCTTTTTGACAAAAAATGGGTAGTCCTTATGTTGCTGGAGCGTAAAGAATAAATAAATTACAGACAGCTCATCGGTGACCGCTCGGTAAATATTCACCCCCTGTTTCCCACCTCATGCTCAATTCCTGTGCCTGACAGATAGCGACCAACATCCGGAAGTATGTACCTATGAATGCCATTGCAACCCAGTTCAAAAAATACTGAAAGTCGGGTCACAAAGCACATGGCACTGCGATGGCTTATGGGCAAACTGAGTGACCGTGTTAACTCAGGCATTCGCGTCGTCACCGAACTTGAAGTCTACAACAGCTCTTTTTGAAAGCACGTAGTAACAATGAAATGAGATCGTTCCAATATACCCATGCCGGCTCTCTACGTTTCAGCTGCACCGCCATGGTCCTATTTGCATACATCCAGAACAGCTCCGTTGGTAATCATAGTTTCTATCTGTCGCAATTACCGCACATCGTCTGGTTACATCAAGGATAACTTGCTAGAAACGGGAGCTGTTTCCATCGGGTGTGACAAATGTCTCCCCACTGTAAGCTCACTGAAGAGTTTGGCCTGCATACCGTTGCAGCCTATGCTGAAGCACTATGGCGAGCGGGAAGTTAGCTGCTAGTTGTTATTCGCACGTCCACAAAAGCTCCCCATGCGAATGCGCTGTGCCTCACACGCAAGACGTGTGCGACTCCCGATGCGAAACATCTGATACGCAAGAATAGTGCCTTTCCACGTCCATCATCCCTCCGTCTGTAATCAGAGATGCAGCAGATGTCAACGACCTTCTGCAGCTGGAAGTATTTCTTGACTGAACAGAATTGCCAGCGTACTCTTCGCCTGGCCAGTGAAGTGACGATCTCGTTTATGAATACTATGCGACGATATGTACTCCCAGCATCGTCTCCTGTCTTCCGCTTCCAACCCTATTGCCGAATAGAGATGCTGCATCCATGCTTCTGCCCCTGCTTTGCAATGACAATGCGCCAGACGTCTTTATCGGGAATGGTGGGGTTACGGATTCACAATCACGTTGACTGTACCACTCCACCACATTGTCAGTTGTTCTGCATACGTTTGCTGACAATGCAGTAGAGTTGTACAGTCAACACGATTGCGAGCCCGTAAATGTTTGGTGGCGACAGCTGGAATGTATTTGCGACTAGTTTACGCCCGTAAACAATGCTGCGATGTCGCTGAACTGAAGTGGTTGGTGCACGTTTACGAACGAGACAGGGGAATATCTACATGTCAGTCAGAGGAGGAGTTCGGGATGAGCTTTTCAGGGAGGCGATTGAAAAAAGGCGATCCCGTAGCACTAGGGATGACAGATGATCCCGCCCGCGGGAAGGTCGGCGGATCCACAAGCCATTCATGGTAGAGGCTGGCAGGATACATGGTAAAGGCTGGCAAGATACACAGTAAAGGCTGGTAAGATCATGTTGAACATTTCCATGCTGAGATGCCGCACGATCACCGACGAATCTCTCTCCTCGCATCTGCAAGATTTCGACATCGACAAGAAGCAGTGTGGCCGGGTGCGATAGGTTACGACAGACTGCTGTGTCGACAGATAGTGACGGAATATGCTGCAACGCGATCGAGACATGCAGACCTTAGCGACAAAATAGTACGTAGATGCTGTTGAGCACGTACACTCGCAACATAGTACGTCGAGTGTTGCTCAATCTCGACGAACATGAAAAAGCTACGTGCTCTTGCGAATATCACTACGACCATGACCGCAGACGGTCTTCATCGCTGTTTTCAGACATAGACCCGGTTTGCAGGCGTCGTGACTTTTCAACCTTGGTACACAGCTTCTGATGTGCTGCAATGGTTCTTCGTGTATTAGCAATGAACGATGAACAAACTTGGTGACAAACTTCCACCTCGAGGCTTTACCTTTTCATCATAATCTGCACATCAACGTACTTCTTCGCGTTTCCAATGCGTTTTTCACGCCTCGACACTCGCTCCCCCCCCCCGTCCTTCTACAAGCGCTCCTACTAGCCACCAAAGACGACACACATGGCGTCCTCTTCCTTCAGCATGCTCAGCTCGTCGTCTGATCTCTTGTCCTTCATTGCGTCTAAATCGTCTTGCATGAACACCCTGAGAAAGATCCGTCCCATCAGACTCCGCTTCATACTTCCCAACGACCGCACGCCATCCCAAACGCTGTGGATGGAGCCATCGAGGTAGTACTGGGGTTGGCAAGGACCCTCGATCTGTTCCGTGAGCGCCGGCTTTTCGCCCTTCTCCTTATAGCCAGCAATGGCCTCGTGTGGGTACACAAACCAACGGAGCCACTCGTGGCTCGGTGCTAGCTTCTGCCCCACCGGGAGATCATCGGCCGACACGGCTTCTTTGATACAGGCATCTGCCAGAACAGCGGCCTGTCTCAGGTTCCCGCGACGATGAGCGGCGATGTTGAAAATAGGAAGAGCACACACGGACTGGCGAACGGTCTCAACGTCATCGAGTTGCATGCTCGCCAGAAACTTCTTGGCAGGGAAGCGGACGGTGGCGCGCGAAACGTGACGCCACGCTCCGTTCTTCGGGTCAAAGTCGTACTGCGGCAAGAGCTTCCAGCCGTGATCAGCCACAAAATTGATCGCGTCCAGGATGTACTCCACCTCATCGTGGTCAAGGAAGTACGGAAAACTCACGCGGGAGACACCCGGTTTCAGCACCTCGTCTCTAGCAACGACAGCATACCCTAGAGCAGTGATGTGCTCGCGACTAAGACCGAGTAGACGAGCACCGAACGGACCGGCGCACTGGCATCCCCCACGCGCCTGGATGCCAAAGAGATCGTTCAGCAGTGCGCACACAAAGTTGTGGTGCAGGAAGCGGTCGCCAAAGCGGACCAGGAACGAAAACACCGGCAACTGCTCCATGTTATCATGGCCGAGCAAAGTGATGTGGTCATTCTGACCGAGCACCTCGCGAACGTGACGCACGCGTTGGCGCTCGATGTCCATAATGTGCTTGGTGCCCACACGTTGCTTGATCTCGAAAGCAAGACCAAGGCGAATGCTGCCGAGAATGTCCGGAGTGCCGCCTTCTTCACGCTCCGCCTTGTTGGCTAGGTAGCTATGAGCTTTCTCGGTCACGAACAACACGGTGCCACCACCAGGCGTCGTCGGTACTTCGTTAGTCATCAAGTTCTTCTTGACAACCAGAACACCCGGGGAACCGGGACCTCCCACGAACTTATGGCCGGAAAAGAACACAGCGTCCTTATACGCACCAGGGTCCTTGGGATTCATGTCGATTTCGACATACGGAGCACACGTGGCGTAGTCCCAACAGGACAGAGCGCCGTACCTGTGTAGCAGCTTCGAGACCTTGTCGACATCAGCCAGCATACCTGTCAGGTTCGAGGCAGCGGCAAATGTACCGATCTTGAGTTCACGGCCCCGGTAGATCTGTAGCTGCCGCTCGAGATCATCGAGGTCCAAGCCACCACCAGTCTTTGCCTCAGAGATCTCGACGACGTCGACAGCGTACAGCTCACGCCACGGAAGCAAGTTGGAGTGGTGCGAAAAGGGGCATGTGAAGACGACCGGCCGCTTGTGCGGACGATGGTGGCGTCGCATCGTGGTGAGCCCGAGGGCAGTGATGAACTTGCCGATGGCACTGGTGCACCCTTGACCACTGAAGATAACCACGTCACGAGCTCTTCTGCCATGGAGACGAGCATTAACAGCCTTGGCGATGATCTGGCGGGCTTCCTCTCGGAAGGACGTGGTTTGAAGACCCGTGACAGATGTGGACGTGTGCGTGTTACCGTACGTAGGCATAACCTCGTTGCGGATGAAAGTCTCGACACTTTCGATAGCCTTGCCACTGGCCGTGTAGTCCGCATAGCACTGAGCCTTCGTGCCGAACGGCGTCTCGAACGGAATGTTACGGCCGATCATGTTTTCAGCGATGTCACACAACAACCGCTCGTCGAGTTCCTCTGGCCCCTCGTCCTCAATATCAGCATCAGCGACGCTATCGGCCGACGAAAAGTCGGTGGCGATCGAGGTTCGCACCGTCATCCGGCGGTCGTCGTCACCCTTCATGATATCCCCGACAATGCCCGAAATGAATTCGACCGTTGGGTCATCGATGGTTTTGGTCGAGGTGAGCGCCCCCGACTTGGTTTTCTCCTCACAATTGGTCGTGTCAACTCGTATCGATTTCAGGTCGATGGTGGGAAACCTGTCCGTGTTTCCTGTGATAACTTCCAACATCTTCGTAGACTCTGTGTCGCTCACGGCCGACGGCAAGAGTCGTCTATGATCTAAGACAATGTAGATGGGTGAGGACTTCACAAAGATAGACGGACAGTCTGACCGACGAAGGAAGTGAGCGAGGACGGACCGAGGTTTCGGCACCTTTGCAACGGGTCTGAATTTCGGAAGTGACAATCAAGTCGTTTTGAAAGCGATGGAGAACCCCGACCCACGAAGCGAACCAGCCTGTCCAAACTGCAGCTGGACAATGCCCTGCTAGCGTGGTAGAAAAAAGGACCAACGTCTCGCCGTCGTTTGACAGCGCGTGCTGGAGTTCCGAGGGCGATTGGCGTGGCGGATGGTACAGCACAAAAAAACAGGACATGACCAGGGCACTTCAATACGGCGCTGCGACGGACATCATCTGGTTGGGAATAAAAGCTCCATACCAACGCACGCCTATGGGTACTGTTGCTGTCGCCGTCGTGTCTGTCGGCTGCTCCGGTATTGTAAAGACTCTACATCAACCCTCGTCGACTGTCGGCGACTCTTTTGTTGACGGTGTCAGGTCTCTGTCATTTTCGCGAAATCTTGCATACTGCGATGTCCCGATTGACGACAGTAGAGAGGTTCCTGGTGGTCTCGTTAACACACTAGTATGCACAAGACGTCTATGGAAGTTCTAAGCCAGGAAATAAGCGCCGAATACCGCCGGCAGTTTATCGTGACAGACCTTTGAAGAAGGCGCGACTACTCTTCGGGTTTGACCCTAAATATGCCGATTCAAGCATGCAAAAAGCCTCTAGGTTGACAGTCTCGAGACCTCGATAGTTGCGTTTGCCAACGCAGTTCGTTGACAAATGTAAAGCGTCACGCGCTTTGCAGTGCTATGGTCTGCAATCACATTAACACAGCGTCGTTCTTCGTACTCTATTTGTGATTTTGTCAGATGCTACACAATCGAAACTAGATCCATTTATAGACCTTTGCCCCTGCCTCCGTGTCGTCTTGAAAACATTGATGCAGTCTACCGCTCCCTGCCGTAGCGGTATCTCGCAGACGATCGCAGGACAATGTGGCGTCCCAGGTGTGGGCCCGTGGAGACTAGCTCGGTGGAGAGAGGAGCTTTAGTTTGAAGTTGGACGCTCTTGTCCATTCAGATCCACTGAGTTCAGCGAGTCTGTGAGGTTGCGGCCGCGCAAAACCGCAACGGGACGGCTCCGAGTCGAGGTACCAAATGATTTCCTGAGATTTCCGATCTCCATCTCACGCTTGCTGACATCACGTGACCTCTGGCCTTCGTGAACGAGCTGGTCTGAAGGTTGGACATAGAATCGGAATCGAAACACCCAGCTCCAAGTATCGTAGTTGCGGTCGTACACAATGTGATGGCATAGGCACCTGCACGTCAATGACTCCGTGGATACATTAACCTCTACAACTCACTCGACGTTGCAACACAAAAAATCCAGCGATATGTGCCGCGACATCGCGAACGTGTTCAAGAAACTGTGCGTCTCCCTTTCGGACCGCACCGTACCGCTCTTTTCGACGTCTTTGCTGTTCTGCCGCACATACTTTGGTAGTGGCGGTTGTTGTCGGGTAGTGGTGAGAGACGTTCCCTTTCCACTGTATTTTCCAGCGAGGCGCACCGATTACCAGCCCAGTGATTTAGTAACTTCCAAACGACATGCATCCTTAAACTTGGTTATCCGAGTTAAACAACGTCTGGCAAGCATCAGTTTAGGTTGTGAAGTGTATCAGTCCCTGAGGACTGAGACACCTTAACTACGTACAATCACCAACAAAGGATCAAAGAGTTACTACCAAAGCGGACGCATTGCTACCAGTGCTGCAGCGATTCACAAATCCAAACAAACACTGTGAACTTTGCATTATGTGCCGGAGAATCGACATTGTACGAAATCGCACGACTACAAAAAACGTGTTGATGTGGACAATACTGCTACATACTCGCGTGGCTTCTGTACAGTTTCGTTCCTTCTATGAAAATGTGGTTGACCGGGCGGTCCGACCTACGGGTCAAAGTAGCGATTTGGCACAGCAACGACAATCGTCGCTAGGTAATGTGCTACGTTCGTATTGCGAACAGACGATGTCGGCAGCGGTCACGCCTATCACGCTCTTTCTGCATGGAATAGACATTATCAAGACGGCGCCTCGTGTCAAATCTGGCGTATGGTGGCGATCCCTGGAGAACCACCACAATGCAAGAACAATCTCGGTGTTTGCGGACAGAAGCGGTGGCCTTGAGGTGATCCGATACTGTTTTGATCCAACTTCATGCTATCATTAGAGATCTTTCAAGGGTACGTTTGTGATCCTCAATCTTAACATTCATTCAGCTTCTATTGTAAGGATTCTGTCATTTTGCAGTGCACGAGCAGGCCAGGAATCCTGGTTACCCGGGTGCGTGCACACGGTTGACATTCTAGCAACAGCACTGTTCGTTCGCATGGAACGTCCACCGTGGCGATGCGACCAATGCATGGACAGCTCATCCAGTTATTGATTGAACGAACGAACGACAAGAAAATTAGTGGACGGTAAGACGGTTGGCGCTAGAGCTGTAATCAACGTTGTGATATCGTATGTTGATTACCCGATCAACACCTGTCATATTTTAGAGAGAGATTTCATGACAGTCTATTAACACTTACCTATGTACAAGATGTCTGAAAACTCTGGAGCCAGGACAAGAGCTCCGGATCCGGTAGCTTGTCGTAGCTGCTTCCTGCGAAGACCACCTCATCCCGCGGTTCGAGAGTGAAGAGGTCCAGACAGGCATCTAAGAGAGCCCCGGCGACGACTGTGTCGGGACCACGATGTTCGCGTTTCGCTAACGCGCTGAGATGCCGAATCCCCACCTTCCAAAAACGGGTGACGCTGTGAATAACCGTCGTCCGCACACCTTGAAATACTGCGTCGTTTCGTTCACTCCATAAGTGAGTTAAACAGACGCTACACATAATAAACCATATGCGATTCCAAACCATGACCCCTGCTTCCAAGTCGTCTTGTAAATGTTCATGTAGGCGTTGTCGCTGCCTTGCCGGTAATGCAGGAGCCTGACGATTCACACTGCCAAAATACCAGGTCTCATCAACAGACCTCACATCTCGGAGACCCGTCCAGTAACAGATAAGTCGCCTCCAGCAGGCGCGCGCCTTTGGACATTCCCAAAAGATGTGAGCCGACGTTTCTTTACGCCCCCAACACTCCATCAGCGCTCGACAGCTGTTGTCAGCGCGACGACCATCATGGTAGATGTAACGGGGCACCCTGAAGCTTGTACTGGTGACAGTACAAGCTACTTATTCTGATAACAGAATAAGGCGGTGCCTCGTAACTTCACGTACACTCGTACGTGCAGAGGAAGACGGTAAGAAGAAGCGAGTACTTGGTTAGAGTAAAAAGTAGAACTGTATTTATAATAGTTAATGTCTGCAATAAATCACTATTTATCTTCATCTAACTATGTCTAAATACAAATGTGTAAATCAGTTATCTGTTCACCACTCATTGCGTGCGTCTGTCGTGGCGCGTCTTCGTTGGTTGATATAATGGCCTATATCAACCAATTAGGAACTACTTGGAAGTGCTACAGAATATTGTCCTTATGACAATATTCTGAGAATATAACTCTTATAGTTATATTCTATTAACAATTTCTTATAAATTGTTATGTAACGATTCACCCCGTTACATCACCCCCCTTAACCATCAGTCACTTTAGTGACTGATTGACTAAATGGATACTCGTCCCAAATCATTTGGGACGGGGTTTGCACTTGTTGGTCCGCGTCCACTTTCCAACATCTCATCGCATGGTAAACAAGCCCATGCGATGCGCGAGCAAGGCCGCCGAGAGCGCGTCTGCACGTCTCTGTGCGGACGCCGAAGCAGAAACTACAGCAACTGATGTCCCATCGGTTGCTGAATCGACTCAGCCTGTATCACCTGGTGATGCAGGCGCTGGTCATGAAGACACTCGTGTCTTCACAGAGTACGAGCTCGGTGTCTCGTACTCTCCTGATACGGATGACGGATCCGTATCGACGGCAATTGAATCCAAGCCGCCTGCCAAGCGTGGCATGGACGATGCTTTGCGTCGCGGCATCTTTGGTTCATCTGATGAGTCAGATGAACCATCGCCGAAGCGAAGGCGCTCGAGGTCGCGAGACTCGGGCGCTAATAGTGGTGTCGGTTCTCCTATTGACACCACTTCACAGCGAGGTGCCAGTACTTCTGTCGGCACGTCGCAGGAAGAGCGGGACCGCAATGTGTTGCGTCTTGCTCCCGAGAAGAAGGCATGGATGCCTCCTAAATCAGTCATGGATCACTTGTCGGCGACGACGAGTGATCGTTATCGAACACGATTGTTCGATTCGTCAAGGATCCATCACCTTGACCCCAGCGCGAAAAACTATCGCGCTGAACATGAATTCTTCATCGATGCTTTCTTTAGACATCGATGGTACAGTGGGAATCACAAACGTGATGGTCCCTCACTACTTCAGGCGTGGAACGCCTACATCCATAACCTCGAGGATGTAGGTCGTGACGCTTGGAACGACAAACTTATCAAAGCTCGTGATAAGTTTGAAAAGCGAATCCCGACAGGTGCACGCTACAAGCTGCATCGTCTGTCAAGGGAGAAGAGATTACCCTGCCTCTCACGGGGGAGACTCGTGCCCATGTTGTGTGAACAACTCTGCACGAGCACCTAAGGAGGCTTACCTCCTTACCAGCCCGTGGTGGCGCGTACGTGTCTCTACTGAGATGTACGAAGGGATTGACAACCTGAAATCCCTTTACGACCGTGCCGGGAAGACTTTCTCCGGCGGTCCTTCTGCGGCACAGGATGTGCCGCGTCGTACTGCTCAACCAGACCCAGTACGTCGATCATCAGTTGGGAGCGGGGCTCCCAAGAATCCCAGGACGGGGGATAGCCGCGCCACCGGACGAGATAACTCGTCCGACGTCCGTTCACGTCGCGGTGGTTCAACAGCTGCTCAACTAGATAGCGCTGGCCACCTCGAGAGTCCTCTAATGGAGGTGGAGGAGGAGGAAAGACGCTCTCCACACGATCATGTGGATCGGTGTGTTCCCGAGAGCTTCTTTGATCGCGTAACGCAAGGTTTACGCGACGATCTCGAGCATGAGCGGAATAGGCGTCTCCAAATGGCGGACACTGCCTCGAAGCATCGAGCTGAGTTTGCCTTTGCTCAGCTTGAGAACGAGAGATCTCTGACATCTCTTCGTGACGAGCTAAGGGTAGCTCGTGGGATTGTTGATCGGTCTCGGGCTGAGATAACTGCTCTTCAGACCCTTGTTGATGCCCACCATCGGGAGCACAAGGCTCTCTGCGAGATGCTTGAGCGCAAGGGCGTTCTTCATCGGAAGAAGCAGCGTACTGATGGTACGGCTTAAGCCGACCAACGTAAAACGTGGGATGCGTTCGCATCTTACGTGGTAACTCGATCGTGTATGCATTGCCTAGGCGGTGCAATACACGAAATGGGCCGATGTACTTGGGTAGTAGTTTACTGCTACCCAAGTTAGTCACTACATGTTTTGGTAGATTAACCGTAGACAGTAGGACTAAGTCACCTTTATTAAATAAAAGAGTGTTTGCCCTTCCATTCTTGTCAGCGTTTTGCTTTTGCTTATCCACCGCTTCGGCGATGGAGTCTTGCACAAAACGGACTACCGTTTCACGAGCCAGTATGAACTCATCTGATGACTGGTTAGCTTCAGTGTGCTGTGAGCGCACTGCAGCGACAACAACCTTTTCTTCAGTGAGGGCTTCCGCACTCTCACTGGGATCATCTTCTTCAGTGAGGGCTTCCTCACTCTCACTGGCATCATCTTCTTCGATATCGATGTTATCGATATCGGCATCAAACGCAATGACTTCTTCGTCAGAGCGTGATGAGCGTGAACCAATTCGGTTTTTGCTCGCGCGAGTCCCCCCCCCCTTAAACCAGAGTTACACTCTAGTAAGGTGGGTACACGCGGATGGCGCAAGCCATTCACGTAAAACGGTGTATGTGTCGTGGACGCATGCACCGAGTTGTTGATGGCAAACTCTACCATTGGCAAAAACTCACTCCAACTCTTAAAGGAGTGTACGTATCCTCGAAGTATCTCTTCAAGGACACGATTGGCTCGCTCCGTCCGACCATCTGACTCTGGATGATCAGATGTTTACATCTTCAAGCGCGTTCCGAGTGATTTGAACACGGAACGCCAGAAATCAGCAGTGAATCGTGGATCTCTGTCTGATACAAGTTCACGGGGCAACCCATGAAGTCGGAAGATGGTGTCAATAAAGACACAAGCACAGCCACTTGCCGTGATTGTCTCTGGTACAGCCACAAGGTGTACCATTTTGCTGAATCTGTCAACAAATACGAGAATACCCGTATTCCCGCGTGCGTCTTTGGGTAACCCGAAGACGAAATCCATTCAGATGGATTCCCAGCGCTCAGCCGGAACCGGTAGAGGCTGTAAAGGTGCACGCAGTGAAGGACTTGACTTCACTCGTTGGCAGACTTCGCATGCGCGAACATACTTTCGCACAAACTGATACTGGCGGGGCCAGTAAAAGTCTCGACTTACCGTGAGATATGTTTTCTCTCGGCCACGATGTCCTCCTATAGGAGCATCGTGATACTCGAACATGATCCGCAAACGCAGATCAGTATCATCTGGAATGACAACACGTGGTGTGTCACCAGAAACGGCTGTATAGTACAGTAAACCGTTACGAGTAGTGTATCGATCTGATGCAGATCGATACGCAGACGACAATCGTTTCAACGATTCTCGAGATGGTTGGGAGAGATGTGACAACAACTTCACTATCTCACCATCTTGGGCGTATGCCCGCCTCACATCATCATACAACGTTGTAGATGGAACTGAGGACGTCATAACCGCAACAGTGACTGTCTCACTGTTGGGTTTCGCGACTGTTTCAAAGTCGGGACGACGTGAGAGTGCATCAGCGACGACATTAAGTCGTCCTGGTTTGTACTCGACCGTAAAGTTGTATTCTGCAAAGAATGACAACCACCGCGCCATTCGTTGTGAAAGGTGCGGGCTGTTCACTGCCGTGCGTAAGGACGCATGGTCAGTGTAAACAACGAAGGGTCTATCTCCTAATAGATAGACTCTGAACTTCGCGAGTGCATACTTCATGGCAAGGAGTTCCTTGTCATGCACTGGATAGTTCCGCTCAGCTGGTTGCAGCTGACGCGACTGATAGCAGACGACGCGTTCAACGCCTTCAAGGTCGTACTGCATTAATGCACAGCCGATTGCGAAATCGCTGGCATCACAGACCACATGAAATGGCCTGTCCTGATCGGCTATTGCTAGGACTGGGGATTGTATCAAGCTCTGCTTGATACCCTCAAAGGAGCGTTGACATTCAGCGTTCCATAACCACCTCTCGTTCTTTTTCAACAAACGAGAGAGGTGTACAGTCATCTCGGCGTAATTGCGTGAATACTTATGCAAATACGCCGCTAGCCTAAGGAATTTTCGAAGACCTTTGACATCGACCGGCACGGGCCAGTCGGTGATCGCCTTGATCTTTTCGGGATCAGGACGTACACCGTTCTTACCAACGATGCACCCAAGAAGTGGTATTTCGCTTGCTGCAAATATACACTTCTTGAGGTTTGCATACAATTGATGCTTTCGCATGATTGTAAGAACTTGTCGGACGTGGTACTTGTGAACCTCAACGTCCGACTTTCCATCCATAGCTCGACTATGGATGAATACGTCATCGAAATAACTCGGCGCGAATTCTCGTACTGGCCTCAACAGATGTGATACACACCTGTTGAACGTGGCAGGGGCATTACTGAGCCCTTGTGGCATTACTAGCCATTCCCAGAGCATGCCGCTAGGCGTGCTAAGTGCGGTATAGGGTATGTCCCGTTCCCGCATTAGGATTTGATAGAAGCCATCCATCAAATCCATGGACGAAAAGATGGTACTCTTTGACATACCATCAATGATTACGTCCTTCCTCGGTATCGGCGTCTGAGCCGGTACCGTTGCAGCGTTCAATTTGTTAAACGCGTGCACTATCCGCCACCCTCCTGTTGCTTTTCGCACACAGAAGGTCGGAGAGCTATGTGGGGAAGTTGATTCCCTCACATGGCCCGCTGCTAAACGATCGGCAAAGAACTTGTCGATCGCAAGTACTTGTTCACGAGGCAGTGGCCACTGCTTCATGACACAGTACTTCGAGCCTGGTTTAAGCTCGACTTCGTGTCGAATACCTTTATCCTTCGGTAATTCGCACGGAACAGTTTCAGGGAATACATCCTTGAATTCAACCAAATCTTCATAGAGAGGATTTTCCTTGAGCGATTCCCATGATTGGGACTCATATCGCTCAATTCGTGTCTTTTCATCTAGGACACTCTCGTCCATAGATGAACTACTGAGAACTCTCTCGTTCTCAGTAAACACTGTTGCTGACCTTATGTCGGTTACATACTCGTCTTCAGCGACGAGTATGCAGATCTGCTTGACTTTGCCACTACGCAGATCACGCAAGAACCTTTTATGTTCGAGCGTTGGCAACTGAGTGATCTCCGAAGTTAACTTCGGAGGCGCAATCAGATCAAGTGTATAAGCACCTACACATGATCCGTTATTGACTATGACATTCAATGTCTCTGTCATTTCCTGGGGACTTATTCCCTCAGGCTTCGAAGGACTTATTCCTTCGTCTTCCCGGGGACTTATTCCCGCGGGTTTCGGGGAACTTATTTCCGCCGTATTTGTAATCTTGGGACTTATTCCCTTTACTTCCTCTAGCTGGGGTTGCGCAACCACAGCGAGATCCTCTACGAAAGACTCTCCAGTCGATCTAGGATTATCGTTTCGCTTAACCTGAGCGATCGATTGTTTCTCTTCTAGATGTTCCCCTCTAGGGATACATCTTTGTCCCAGTCCACCCGACTTATTCGAGTGGTGGACCTTCGGCGCAGCCTGTGTTTCCTCACAGCCGCCGGAACTTTGCTCCGAAGTGTAACCGTTTGGTACACTAAGGTTTTGTGCAGTCGTACTAACGACCGTACCACAAGTGAGGCCATCGCACTCACTCGTAGTACATCCACACGCTTGTGGACGCTCCAAAACGTTCATCAGATGGCCATCTGATGAACAAGCGGCAGGCATCGTTACTGTCCGATGTTGCCAGTTTACCCGTGGTTCGTACCTTCTGAGCCACGGTATTCCAAGGATGACATCAAATTTGTCATCCAAATCCAATACGATAAAGTCATCGTCGTATTGGGTATCTTCTAGCGTATAGTGAATCTTCACTATACGCTTCATGACGGTTACGGATGCGCCTGTCGCAAGACGTACCGTCATCCTCGTAGGAGGTGTGTCACATTCACTGAATTTAAAGTGACCATCTTCTAGCGATTGGCGTCGCACAAAATTGTTGGACGCCCCACAATCGACTAGAGCTCGAAGGGACAACTTATTCGTCACTTCGAGTTTCAAGGTAATGAGTGAGATCTCATTACCTAGAGCAGCAACGCACAATGTCTGTGTGTTGGGAGCAACCTTCATCAAGAGGCCTACAAATTCTCTTGACGTTGCTGGATCAGTAGGGTGCTCCGCACCTACTGATCCTGTCCGTTTTTTGACGGTCCATCCCGTTGTTGCGTCTTTGCACCAACTGCGGACCCTCGTCCCTGCCCCTTTCTCATGGGTGGACGGTCACTACGCCCAGTGTCGCGAGACACTGGACGAGGGGCACTACACTCGTAAGCGTAGTGTCCTGTCTTTTGACATCTGTTGCATCTCTGCAACTTCTTGTAGCCTGTAGAGCGAGCCTTCTCGCTCTCTACATAACAGAGTTCCATCGGCTCTGGACCTCCGTTGTCATATCGTCTCGGTTGACGATATGATGTCGAGCTGGCGCGAGCCTGTCTCAGACTGAAGTCTTCCTGCTCCGCAATTGAAATGGCTTGTTCTAGTGAATCTAGTTCAAGCCGGAACATGTGAGTCTTGACGGGACCATCCGCAAGACCCTGCATGAACACCGAAACCAACGTGTGTTCATCCACCGGATTGGAACTTATACAACTCGTGAGATGTCGTATATGTTGAGCGTAAGCGTGCACATCACGCTTACCCTGCTTGAGCTTCAAGAGTTCGGTTCGAGCTCTGAACTCAGCTCTAGGCGGTTCAAACGTTTGTCTGAGCCGCGACTTGAAGACTTCCAACGACCCAAACGCATATGGGTCGTGCAGCTTGAGCCCCAGTGCCCAAGTCTTGGCACGTCCTGCCAGATTTGACTGGGCAAATGCAACTTGCATATCCCCGTCGTCGATGCGACGCGCCCTTATGGCGTCATCCAATTCGACGAACCATCTCAAGAGGGAGTC